TTTCTTTTTTTTTGGCAATGTTAACAAATTTCATAATCAATTGTAAAAAAAAAAAATTATTTTAATAGATAATTTCCATATAAAATAAAGTCAAACGTGAACAAAAAAAATCTAAAATTTCAAAAATTTTCCGGGTGGAAAATTATACCAATCAAACACACTTGCAATCATTTTCCCTGCAAAACATTTTCTAGGCAAATCTTTTCCCTATAAAACATTTTCTTTCCACCCATTTTCCACCCTTTCAATCAAACGCACTCTAAGATGTGTCCTCTTTACCATGATTTACATGATATATGGTTGATGCACCCAAAGTGATTACGAAACGTGGTTTTGATTATTCTTGATAAAAAAAATTCACCCTTCAAAGACAAATTTATTGCCCATAGTGCTTTTATTATAACTAGTCAACATTGAACTTCATTATAAAATGATTTATAAGTATTATAAAAGTCATATTTAAATACATGTGAATGTCAATTAATTTATAATTAATATCGGGAATATGTACTTGATAGTGAATGTTAAATAATTTATTTAATTTTCAATTAAGTAAATTTTGATGTTAATTAACATACATTGACGTGAATAATGAAATGTATTCTTGAATGTGCAATTCTAATTAACTCATAATTAGAAATGCATAAACAAAGATGAATATTAATTAAATGAATTTAAATTTTAATTAATTGAGAATTAATATAAAGAATTTATACATTAATGAAATCACACAAAGCGAAATGAATGGGTTAAATGTACATATACTTTGATAGTAACTAAATGGTTAACTAGATTAAATACATATAAAAAATGAGTAATGTTATTCATCTCCACTGGGGATGAAAACACAATCTACATTGCGTCAATGTGGCATTAAATGATAGGTGAAATTAAATAAGTCATTTAATTTCACCTTTCATTTAACCTACCATTTAAAAACACATAGATTGTGTTTTCATCCCCAATGAGGATGAATAATATTACTCATAAAAAAAACGTAAAGTAATTATTATTGAATTATAGTAGGGTTAGAATAGTCCGAATAATGATATAGTGCTAGAATCGTCCAAAAAATGATTCTCACTTGATGTGATTATTTAATAGATTACAGATATTGATCGATTAAAATATTTATTCAATCATTATATTTATCACAAATATTTTAGTCATGCCTACTTGACCCTTGCGCTTTTGGTTTAAAGCCAAGTTCGTTCCCATACTTAGAATATTGTTCAAATTAACCCTTAATCCATTTGCTCTATTTATTTATTTATTGAAGTTGATATAACTCAAGTTAAATTTATCGTATTTCAGTCCAAAATAACGAGCACGATATATAAATAACAAGATAAAGGCAACTAATATATCAGCAACTCTAAAAATATTAAAAACTACTAGTGGATAAAGTCATTTAGAGAACTAAATTAATCTACTCGATCTGGCAAGGGTTCTGGTCACCGATTTTCTGGTCCGATCGTTCAATCCTGGTCTAATTTTATAACTATGATATTTATTGTTCAATCTTTCAAAAAAGAATGGGATACATCCCAAACTTTTTAATGACATCATTCTTCCATAACCTTACAACTTCAACTATTCTAGGGCATGTTTGGCATGGTTTTTTGAAAAATTAAAAAGGAGTTTTTAAGATTCAAAAGTTATTTTCGAACT